CATCGGAGCGAAACCATCATTGTTGGCCATTTGGAATGAAGAAATAGCGATGTCGGCAAAGAATTGCTGAACATTAGATTATCTCCTTTGCAAGGTTGAAAGACGACGTCAGAGTGCCACTTGCAGCAATCCGGCCAAGAGTTTTAGCATTGTTAGTGTGAAAAAGTCGAACATCAAGCTCGTTTCCTGGGTGACCGCGATCTCAAGGACCATTCGTAGAATCGTATGCCAGGTGCCTCCTGCCCAGGGTCTGGTCGGCGCTTGCCAGAGTTCCAAATAGTATTCGAACAGGCAAACGCCTTCAGACAAGACTTGACTTACCAAATGGACAACTCCTTTGCCTAGGCAAACAACTGACAGACTCAATGCATTCAAGGCAATGTAGCTTACTTGAGACACATTTGCAGCATGCATGCCACGTTGAGCCGCTTCGCCGATGCCGCCGGAGGCTACTTGCATTCAGGGCAGCTTGTCAGGGTGACCCTTTGTGTCGTTTGGGCGACCCGTGGAACTAAATCTGTAGCACACATGACATCCCTCGTATTTGAACAATCAGTTGGTCGTGTGTGTGTGTACTGCATGGTGTAATGTCGCTTGCTTGCCTTTGGCCAAATAGTTCACCTGATTGATTGACATGTCTGCACTTTGGCATGGGGGCTTGGAGGTGGCCATGGCAATCTTACAGTGCCTTGTGTGTATTGATTCCTGAAGGCTGTGCTGGTTGGTGCGCGTTTTTTCCCTGGGCGAGATGCAGGCCGCATGTCAACTGATGGGAGCCGACAGCACATGCGTGCTGTATTCCTAACCCATCAGGACATCTCAACCCAGCGAACCTGCCAACGGAGAAGCGCCTTGCCAGCAAGAAGTGCTGTGCATAACCTTTGTCCAACCTTTTTCCTCAATGTTTCAATGTGGGGCTCCAAACTTCACAGCAGTCAAGGGACGCACATTTTTCAGATGTAGAAGAGGTCGCGTGGATGCATGAGAGCAGCAGGAGATTGACACCTGCAATGATAGTTCTCAGAACGTTTGAGCAGCTCAAGCAATCTGAACGAATCTACCTAGCAACTGGCTCAGATCGAAACACAACTTCTTCAACTTGAACGTAATTCAAGGTACTGCCGAGGGTGTTGAGCTGCAGGCAGCACATGTACATCAGCATGGCATGGCCATTGCATTCAGCATTTTGTCAGCCAAAGTGTTCGAGATATTTGGACACCACAAACATCCCTTCTCAGCCTCTTGGTGACCCCTCCAGCTTTCGCTTGTTTTACTGAGAGGTGGTTCCCCAGCGCCTCTGTGCCGCAAGAGCACAGCACATTGCTCGCGCATAGCATGGGAATGGCATTTTGAGTTAAGTTGGCGCAGCTTGCACGTGCAAACAACGCTCTGGTTCTTCAGGGTTCATGATGTCCATTTATGCGATCAGCTGTTCGTTTCTGCTCTTTGGACAATTCTACGATATTATCTGGCGCCTTCTTGGCTTGTTGAACGGAGCCTGCGTGTCAATAGGGATTTTTGTTGTTGGTCAGTGCTGATCCTTCGGACGCGTGTTCCCACGCGGTGCTTGAGGACCGTTCGCAGGCCGTGGAAGAGCAGCGAGGCATCGCCCGCTCTCGCGGTGTCGCCATGTCTCGTTTGCCCCGTCCCTCAGTCAGGCACCCCGGACGAGAAGCAGGACAAGCAGGAGTTGGAGAAGAAGGTTCTCGGCATTCATGGCATTCATAGCTCTTCCATAGCTTGATGTAGGTGAAGAGCGTTTTAGAGCCTCACCTTGTTTCTTTGAAGGCTGGGGGAATCGCACTCTGCCAATATCTAGAGACTGCTGAATTCACTGCCAGGCTACCTTGACTGATGAGCTGCAGGGTGCAATGCAAAGGCTGATCAAGGATTGGGTGGCGGGAACGCAGTGTCGTGGTGTGCGCTTGCATCTCATTGTTCCGGTTCCTTTTTGGTTTCTTCTTTTTTTCTCGGGTTAGGGAAATGCGAGCAGTTCCAGCTCGAGCAAATGGAAAGCTCAAAGCGCGTGAGACTCAGCCTGAGTCCTGCAAGGCAGGCATATTGAGCTGTCTTTTTCTCTTTTGAGTTTGGCAAACACCACATTTACATTACGACAGGATGTGTTTCTGTGCGAACTATGCAGGCAGACCTTGAAAACGGAGCCGCATCCATGGAGCTTGCTGCCCAGAGCCTGCAGGGAACATTCTGAGCATGTTTTGCATGTATCATTCTGAGCTTTGCTTTGCTGCTGGCTCTCAGGTCATCAAGCTTTGCTGTTAGAGTAGCAGATGCTGTTGGCGAGGCTGGATCAACCAGTACTCTGATTACGTAGCATGACTTGTTGTTTTCTTGTTTTCCCACAAGTCAGACAAGTTGATGGCTGGCATATAGTCAAGATCACTGCCAGAACTCTTTGAACCTTTCGGTGCACTGCCTGTGTTTTGGCACCTTGCTTTTTTCGGCCAGACTCATCAGAGCAATTTGTCAGATTCAGATTTCATGTTTCTTTCCCTCACACCTGGAGGAGGGTCTTCCAAAGGCAGAGGACCTGCCCATGGTACGGCGGCCAGCCAAGAGGCAACGTGGAGGGTAGAAGTGGCAACAGCGCGCACAGAGAGATTGGACCGCATGTGACCAAAGCCAAAGTTCCAGAACCACAATCTACTGAGTGCGTCGTGTCGCGTTTTCAGGCGCTGGACAACTGCCACGCATGATCCTAAAGCTTTGGAAGCGACGATTGCAATGGTTGCAATGATCGCGATGATGGCTGACCAAGGGGCAGCATAGGAGGTGCTCTCAGTACAGCAATGCTACGAGTTGTAGTACCGACATTACTCGCCCAGCTCTTAGAACCTCTGTGTGGGTTCCCGTGTTGCTTGAGGGCTCGTCATTCGGTGTTTGCCAGGACTGCGACACGCCAGCCACCTCCACGGTGGTGAGCGCCGCTGCCAGCGCCAGTCTGGCGGGTTCAACGGCTCGAGCTCGAGCACTTCATTCCTCTTTGCGTCGTAAGCATTGCCCGGTGTGTTGAGCCGGAATGGCTATATTGTTGGAAGGCTTTCTTCGTGCGGCTTTGAGCAATCTTAGGATGTCTTTAGAACAAATCTTTTCATGGCAGGAAGTCGCGAGTGATGGATCGGAACCTTCAAGACGATCTTCCTTGAAGGCCACTGGAGGGATGCACGCCGTCCTTTTTGCAAGCAGATTTGGCCCCGATGCCGAAGCTCCAAGACAAATAATTGCCACATGTGGGGACTAAGTATATAAATTGCCAACAGGCAACTAGGGCTTTCTTTGAGGACTTCTTTGGTTATATTGGCTCCGCAAGGATTGCAAACAAGTGTCCTTCACTGGCTGACATCAAAACAAGCCCGTTTGAGCCACTTCAGCCGCGAAGTCCTTGTGCGCAGCTGGACTCCGGCCAGGATGTTGAGGCAAAGGCCTCACGCAAGCCGCGCATCACCTTCCAAGGGCTGGAAGCTCGAGGGACGCGCTTCCTGTTCAGATCGAATGCTTGGGTTGCCCAGAATGGCGCTGCCGAGGGTGGAAGCCACTTGCGGCAGTGATGCGGACGATGATGAGGAGGAACGCAGTGCTAGGGAGAAATTGTGGTGAGGTGATGGTCACATGGAGCTTTTGATTGAAACAGGTTCAGGACGCTGGACACCCTCGAGGCGCATGCTGACTCACCACTGAAGAGTAGCGCATAGAATTTCTTTGAGTGAGCTTGTTCTGGGACGGACTGAGAAACACGATCAGGAGCACCACGTCCATGGTATGCTGTGCAGGAAATTGTTAGATGTTTGGCCCGCCCACCGTCCCTGAAAATCGACAAAGGGTACTTGGCTAGCTTCTTTTCCCGCACTTTCCTTTTGCCAGTTCTTTTGGCCGTGTTTTGTTTTGTGCTGCGGTTTGGACTGAAAGCACCAACAGATCCCTCAGATCACGCTCCAGCAAAATGCAAAGAAGCAAGACGGAGTGGCTACGAACATACGTATGTATTCCTGTACTTGCTTGCTTGCGCGAGACCGAAGGCTCGCATCCCAATTCTGGAACACTTCTTGCACTACTTGACAGCTCTCGCAAGTATGTGCTGCCCGTTTGCAGGCAGTGACAGAGGCAGTGACACCTCTTCTGTCGTTTGGCGCTGGACTTATGCCTAAGCTGAAGCGATGCTCGAAGCTAGGATGCGACATTGTTACTCTTGGTCAACGCCTTTGTAGTTTGATATGATTGTCACTGCCCCGTTGGTGGGCGTGTGCCGTATCTCGGAGACCTGCTTTGGCAGATCCCAAGCGCCTGAGGCGGGCTGACGCGTTGGACGTGGGCGAGAATCTGGCGGCTGAAGCTGCTGCAAAGAAGGAGCCCAGTGCTGACTGCATCTCCATTCCCGGTTTCGGATTTTTTGTTGGGACCAAGCATTGTTGCGATTCTCAGAGAATGGTGTCACTTTGATAGGGCCACACCTCCGTGGATTCCATTGTGGCACTGGTGCTGCTACTCAGGGAGTGCATGCGATTGCGCGCGACTGCATGCAGCAACATCGGGGTGCGACCTTTCTGGGCAGGGTCTTGAAGTTGGTATGCAGGTTTGCGATGTAAGAACATGACGCTAGAAGTCTCACTTCACGACTGACTTTTGTTTTACCTGGTTTCCTATTTATTTTGGAGGGGGGTGAAGGACCCCAGATTCCCCCTTCAAACACCAGATGCCCACTCAATTCTCCCATCATTGAGAACAACGCATTTTGTTTGCTTGGAAAAGCTGGTGCAAGATGCCTGAAGCATCCCAAGATTCGATGAGGTGCAAACAGAGCGAGAGCGCTGGGAGGAGGAGAAGCAGGCTGGAGTCTACGTCAGTCCAGCAGTCCAGCAGTCCAGCAGTAGTATTCGTTTGTGACATTGTCACTTGAGTTGGGGGCCAAGGCACTGGAAGCCAGAGCTGAAGAGCTGAAGGCGCCAGTCAAAGCTGTGCCAGGGTTGGCACATTGGATTTCATGTCCTATCTAAGGGGGGCAAGTGTAAGCTCAAGACATTGCTTGCAACATATTCGATTGGTACGAAGCAGCTACTGCTTCGCTTCATGGACTAGCCACAGTCATATATCTATGTGTGTGATGCTGTACATTAGTGAAACACATTTAACATATAGGTAGCTTGGGAAGATGCAATGCATAGCATGTTCAGGAAGTGACGTGATGCATTGAGAAGCTATGTTTGAAGACTCACAACTGAGCACATGGGTGGCAGCTGAAGGCTGGAAGGCCAGCGGAAAGCTGAACATTTCATCGCTCAACAATGCTCAGACAATCTTAAGGAACTCTTATCGATTTCAGCCTCTGAGAAGCAAGCATGCTACAGACATGTTTATTAAGCGCAACATATTATTTTGAGTCTTCAGGGGAGTACTCCCCAAGACTCAGAATAATTAAGACTTTTTGAGAGCAGTCTATAAAAAGAAACACATGTACACAGAGGGATACACAATGCTGGGTGTCGGCCAGGAGCAGCTGCGGGCAATGCAGGTGCACGCCTTGTCAAGCTTGAGAGTTCGGGAGAGAAAGAGAAGAACATAGACGAGCACACTGTGGCAGAGGGGTGAAGAGTGCACTCTGATGGTGGCAGATTTGCATTGTGCTCAATTTCCACAGATGCGCTGACAAGCGGACAAAGAGCAGCGCATTGCAATGCTTGTCCAATCAATGAACCAATCAATCAATCAATCCATTCATCCATCCATCCATCAATCAATCAATCAGTCAATCAATCAATCAATCAACCATTCATCCAGCCAACCAACCAACCGAGCAACCAACCAATCAATCAATCAATGAATGAATGAATGAATCAATCAATCAATCAATCAATCAATCAATCAATCAATCAATCAATCAATCAATCAATCAATCAACCATTCATCCAGCCAACCAACCAACCGAGCAACCAACCAAACAATCAACCAAGCAATCAATCAACCAAGCAATCAATCAATCAATCAATCAATCAATGAATCAATCAATCAATCAATCAACCAGCCAACCAAACAACAAGCAAAAAAGAAACCAGGCAACTAGTCAAGCAATCAAGCAAGAAACCAGCCAACCAATCAACCAAGCAGTTCGCCAACCAATTCCCCAACCAAGCAAGCAAACAATCAACCAGCCGGTCAGTCAAACGATCAAACAAGCAGCAAAGCTCATATTATCCAGCAACACTGCAAGCTGGTCTCAATGGTGTCTGAGTTGATACCAGCAAAGCTCCGCTTCCTTTCGCTAGGCTGTCCATCGGCCTGATGCGGAGAAAGAGGCCTCTCAACCGCTTTGAGCGCTCGCAGACTGCCGCTTGGAGGCCCTCAAGAAGGAGTACCAGGATCTCCGCAAGGCCATGAAGCGGGGAGTGCCAGCCAGTGCAGGACAGCGACCAATCATTTGAGGCCATGAAGGCTCGAAGCAGATTCGGCGCTTGGGTCTGCGCGGGGCTCTCGGTTTTGCCACAAGAGTGTGTGTGGATATTTGAGCTGGTTCGCGCTTGAAATGTGTTTGCACGCGTGCGCGCACCTGAAAGTTCGGGCATGAAGGGCATGGCCCCAGAGGACGGCCTCATCTTGCCATGTTTGAGGCGAGACACATGATGGAAAGTGAGGACGAGGACCAATCTCAGATGGGAGCATTTGATGGCATTGAAGAGACACGGGAATACTCACAAATTGCACACAAGCGCACGAATACACACGACAGACAAACACAGGAAACATACACACACACACGAACAAGCAAACACACAAACACACTACTACTACACACACACACAAACGCACGACCATGCAAACACACGAGCACCCAAACACATGGACAGGGAGCACGCACACACACACACACAAACACACACGCACACCCACCCACCACACGCACACACAATCATACGCCCACCCACACACACACACACATCCACCACACACACACACCACACACACACACACACCCACCCCCACCCATGCACACCCCCCACGCCACCACGCAAACACGCAAACACGCAAACACACGCAAAAACAGGAGCGCACACACACACAAACAAGCGCACGCGCAAGCACATGCAAGTGCACACGCACATATTCAAACGCATGCGCACACGGACACGCACACGCAAAAGCGCAGACAGACACAGACGCAGACACCCATACACCCATACACGCAGACATACAGACATATGACATACAGACATACAGACATACAGACATACAGACATACAGACATACAGACATACAGACATACAGACATACAGACATACAGACATACAGACATACAGACATACAGACATACAGCAGACACACCGACACACCGACACACCGACACACCGACACACAGACACACAGACACACAGACACACAGACACACAGACACACAGACACACAGACACAAAGATACACAGACGCGCAGACACACAGACACACAGACACACAGACACACAGACACGCAGACAACAGGCGCCGCGGCGCGCGCACGCGGCGGCGGCGCGCGGCACGCGGCACGCGGCACGCGGCACGCGGCACGCGGCACGCGGCACGCGGCACGCGGCACGCGGCACGCACACGCCTCGCACGCACACGCACGGTTGCACGCGCACGGTCGCACGCACGCACGGTCTCACCAACACAAACGACGCATCGCAACACACACACACACACCAACACGCACCAACAGGCACCACACACGCCAACACAAACTATCCCAGACCAACACAGACCAACGCGCACCCGCACACGCGCACGCACACGCACCAAGCCCACGCGCACGCGCACGCGCATGCGCACGCGCGCGTGCACGTGCATGCACGTGAGTACACACACACACACACACAAACAAACAAACGCACCCGCGCGCGCGCGCATGCGCGCGCACGCCCGCGCGCCTGCACACGCGCGCACGCGCGCTTGCCACACGCGCACGTGCCCACGCATGCGCGCACGTGCGTGCGCACACGCGCACGCGCGCGCCCGAGCACACACACACACACACACGCGCGCGCACAACACACGCAACACACACACACACACCACACGCAAGCGTGCGCCACACACACAGACACCACACCACAGACACACCACACACACCACACACACACACACACACACACCGCACACACCACACACACACACCACACAACACACATTCACACTCTGCACACACCACACGCACACACACACACACACACCACGCAACACACACACACACATATCACACACACACACACACACACACACATACACACACCCCACACCCACGCACGCCCACCCACGCACACACGCACACACACACACACAAGCACACAAACACAAACACAGACACAAACATGTCCACAAACTCAACCACAAACACAAACGCAAACACAAACACAAACAGAAACACAAGCAGAAGCACAAGCCCAAGCACAAACGCAAACACAAACACAAACAGAAACACAAGCAGAAGCACAAGCCCAAGCACAAGCGCAAACACAAACACAAACACACACGCATATATGCACGCACGCATGGCACGCACGCACGACACGGCACACAGACGGCAACACGCACAAACAGGCATGTGCACACGCATACACAAGCACACAAGCGCATGCGGAGCTGCACGCCCGAGCTGGCCAGCCCTCCCGAACTTCTTCAGATTGGCGAGCCGGGCGGAAGGCGTCTCACACCTATTCAAACCGCATATTTACATTGGTTGGCCGGGCCGGCGGCAACCCTTGCGGAGGTAGTGTAAAATCCTTGTTGGCTTGTTTAAGTGTCCGGATATTTGAGTGGTGACCCCGTCTATGTATCTTTCCTCCTGAGGAGACTGACGCAGAGAAGGAGGACCCAGTAAGATCGATGTCGTGGGCATCAAGGTTGATTGATGTTCTTGCCAATGAAAGGAGTAGTTTTTCCGATCCATGTTTGGAGAGCGGAACCAAGGGTAGTAGTGTCAACGGACTCTCGCACTTTGATGGCGATCCTGCAGGAACTAAACCTCAATCAGAGGATACACGCCTTGGATTCTGATGTTCAGGAGCTCCGGCGAAAGATGTCTGAGCTCTCCGCGAAATTGCGCGCAGCCAGGTGCTCGGAAGCATTGCGCCAAATCAAGCTTGCTTGCACAAAAAAGTTAACCAGCGCGCAGCCTAGGCCAAGGCAGCTATGGGTGCTGCTTCCAGCGAATCTGATGTCTCTCCGAGCAGAAGGCTGTGATCAACCAAAATGCGGTGTTTCATTCGATTTGCTGCATTGTTCGGAGCCGAAGATGGCAAGTGAGAGCTAATTCTGGCCTCCAGGTCCCCGGGGCCACCCATTCGGCGGAAGCACTGACCTGCCGCGCCTTGGCAATGAATGAAGCGACTCGTGTAGTGCTTGGCCTGAAGGCGCGACAGATCTGGGGACTGGCTCGGCCCTGGAGACAAAGTGGCGCGACGGTGCAACTGGAAGCCACATCGGCGCAGCCACAAGTGGTGTTCAAGGAATGTCACCCTCAGATTGTGCTGAGACCTTCGAAACTCTCTCCAGTTGCCGCCGTAAGACAATGCTTTCTACACGCGTTTATGTGGCAAATTTATGAGGGACTTGCGCATGGTCATGAGAATGCGCACGAAGGGTGCATGGGTTCATGGCAAGTCCACGCCAAATACTTGAACAGGAGGCTTGTTTTTTTCGCAAACCCCAATCTTTTCAAGATTGTTACCGTGTAGGTACAGGCGCGTGTGTGGACGCGACCCCCTCGCCTGCCTGCCTGCCTGCCTGCTTGCCTACCTGCATTCTTCCTGCCTTTCTGCCTTTTGCCCTTCTTTTGCCTCCTGCTTTTGCATTTATTTGTGTATGTATGTGATGTAGCGAAATGACATGAACATGTAAATGTCATGAGTACACAACTGCGAGGCCCGGCCGGTGCAGTTTTTGCGCCTGTGTTTGGGACCAGCAAAGGCAGGCGGGGGCATAAGCAAGGAGCGCCCCTGAACATTTCAAATCAAAACAGCCGCCGGACCACCTGGCGCTTGTTTGGCGCTGCAGCCAGGGTGCTGGTCAGGGAAACGGGGTGGCTGGCTTTGCTTGTTTGGCTCTGGGTGCTGGTCTGCTGGTCAGGAGTGCTGGTCAGGGTGCTGTGGGTGCTGTTTGTGTGCCTAGGGTGCTGTGGTGACTGGCAGTGCTTGTTGACGCAGCGGGTCCTGGTCAGTGGCTTGCAGGTAGGGTGCTGTTGTCGGTGCGGGTCAGGGTGCTGGTCAGCTGTTTGGCGGGCTCAAGGCGACGCAGCCTGGGTGCTGGTCAGGGTGCTGTTGTAGTCTCCCATGCTAGTTGCGGTTTGTGCTGGTGTATTTTTTCTATGTTTAGTATTACCGTGTTTGCTTTTGAATATATATATATATGTATATATATATATATATATATATATCTGCCGAAGGGGGCGCCATGCGGGGTGGAGCTGTGATTTGTTTCCAATTAATTGATCTAACATATCAAACTCCGCATCCGTATTCAATTGCCAACTGACATTAATTATTTGTCGCACTCCTCAGCAAACTTCTCCAATGATTTGCACTCCTCAAGCAACCTCGTGAAAAAGAGTCTCGCTTTTTCTCCAACAAAAACAAACAGAACTCCAGGCCCCGTGGGGGTGTCTCCAGGATCTGGGGAATGTGGTTTGGAGCTTTTTTTTGGAAAACTCAAGTTTCTTTTTCACTTTCCAAAAAAGATTAAAAAAAAAAAAAAAACGTTGAGTTTCCAAACAAAAACAAACAAACCCAAACTCCCGGCGTCATGGGGGGGGTGTCTCTTGGATTTGGGGAACAGGGTCTGTTTTACGATGATTATATTTTTTTCCCCAGCAGCTGTAAGCTTTGGGGTCTCAGCCCAGATAGGCTCCGGGGTGGTCCGGGGCGGCCCTGAGGTAAGGTTCCACGAGGGTTCCACCAGAGTTCCACCAGCGTTCCACGGAGCACTAAAAAAGAGCAACGCATACAAAAAAGCCTCGAGTTTTCCAAAATCAAACAAACAAACCAAAACTCCAAGACCCATGGAAGGCGGGGGTGTCTCCAGGATCGGAATGGGGTCTGTTTTTTCTGGAAAACTCGAGGTTTTTCTCACTTTTCCAAAAAAACCAAACCAACCTTGAGTTTTCAAAAAGACAGCAACAAAGCAAACCTCCAGGCCCCATGGGTGTGTGTGTGTGTGTGTCCAGGATCTGGGGAACGGGGTCTGTGTTTTTTTTGTTCCTTTTGTTTCTTCTTCTCACTTTTCCAAAACAAAATGAACAACCTCGAGCCAAAAAACAAACAAACCAAAACTCCAGGCTTGTCTCCAGGATCTGGGGAATATGGTCTGTGGTTTTGTGTTTATCTTGTTTTGTTTTGAAAACTCAAGGTTTTGTCTCACTTTCCCTTCGAACCAAAAACAACCGGTTTTTCGCGCTTTGTTTGGACAACCCGAACGCCTGTGAGAACCTTGCCATGGTGTTTCTTGAGGTTTCTGGTTCTTGTTCCTCATGTATCTCTGCCTGAAGCCTGCACTGCACCCCGTACCCCTTTGTATTCCACGAGTGTTCCTTTAGTATTGCACTTGGGCAACCTGTTTTGGCACAAGCATCCTGGATTGCAAGAATAAGCCACACTGACTTCTTTCCCTTTGAATTCTACTGAATATCTTTATCAAGTTCTACTCAATTTCTAAATTACAAAGAATCTAATGAGGACATGGTCCAATCAGAATTCCTGTTTTGAATTAGAATATTCCATTTGGACTTAAATGTTACACGGGATATCCTTTCCCATAGACTTGTCCTTACAAAATCAGTAAACATTAAAGCACACTGTTCAACAATGTTGGTCAGAATTCTTTCCTTATGAGCTTATTTTCAATATCTTTATCAAATGATTCCATGACAATACTGGGGAATACTGAGACATACTTCGGGAATAGGGAATACTGGGGGGGTGCGAACGGAAAGGAACAAAAAACGGAATACCAAGAGAATACCAACGTATACAGAAGTTACGAGGAAACGCCGAGGAGATAATAGGGGAAACCTATTGGGAATGCAAGAGGAAATGCTAGGAGAATAAATACTAGGGGAATACTGGGAGAGTACTAGGGGTGTGCCAAGAAAATACTATGGAATACTAGGGCAACATTATGGGAATACCAAAGGAATAGGGGAACAAGAAAAGAATACTAAGGGATAGGGAAGTACTAAGCGTGAACAGCAGGACAATTACTAGGAGAATAATGGGGGAACACTTGGGGAATATTAAGGGAGTACTGAGGAAACCAAGAGAATACAAAAGGAATACAAGCGGAACACCGAGGGGATGACAGCGGACTAGGGGAATACTAGGGTGAATATTGAGGGACTACTCGGGGAACACTGATGGCATAATATATATATATATCTCTCTCTATATATATATACACATACATACATACATACATACATACATACATACATACATACACGTGTGTGTGTGTGTGTGTGTGGGTGTGTGTGTGTGTGTTTCATCCCTGTGAATCTTTTCTGTTGAGTTTCCGCATGTTAATCCAGCTCGCGACTTGTGTGTTTGCGTGTGTAATTACTGCATTGCTTCAGGCAGCCTCGGTGTTTGTTAAAGATCCTTTGTCCTGTGCGTGCGCAGGCTCATTTCCCTTGCCAGGGCTTTGTTGCAACAGATCGCATTTGACCACTGCCAAGACTTGCCTATTTTGAGTTCATGTCTCGGTCTGTTTCGAACGCGAGCAGCCCCTTTCTTGCCAGTCGGCCAGTTCGAGAACACACAGTGGCTTGGCTGGCGCGCATGGATGTGACATTACATGAAACTACAATCTCCAAAGAGGCCGCTTGCGCAGGTGGCTGGATGTCTCCCTGTGATGAATGTGAAAATAATTTGTGCGTGCAAAGCCCTTTGTGAAAACGCTGAGTTGGATGGTGATGGGAAGTTGGATGGCGATCATGGCAGCAAGTGGTGGCGGTGGAATTGAGGGATCGCATTTCAACCGGGGAATGCTAGATTTCTCCCAAATCCAAAACCGAGGAAGCTGTCTGATTGGCGACCGGTATTTTACAGAGGTGGTCAGGTCAGCATGTTACATGGGTGAGAGTGACGGCTGCTTGTGTAGGATGGCAGGAGGTTTTTTTGGTGCTCCCTGTGATGAATGTGAGAATGATTTGTGCGTGGCAAAGCCCTTTTGGGAATGCTGAGTTCATCGTGGTCAAGAGTCTGAGCGGGAGCACGGTTTGCAAGAACTAGCGGTCTACAGTATTCCCAGATGGCATCAATTGCAGCACCTGCGGAAGTCGGTCACGCTCGCATGGAGCTTGTTATGAGAAGCTGCCCTCCTGCAAGTGCATACTCGTCTTGGCTTATACGGTAGCCATGGCAAGGGTGTGGATGGAGGCTTCTGGCTTGCTGGCAGTGCTGGCAACCATGATGATAGGTTGACGGGGTATGGGATACGGGTTGGTGATGGGATGGATGAAGGGATGGTCATGCGGAAGTTAGATGGCGACGATGACAGCAAGCGGTGCCAGTGGAATTGAGGGATCGCATTTCATCCTGGCAATGCTAGATTTCTCCAAAAAGCGGACTACATGCGTGCAGCATGTTGCATGTGTGAGTCACGGCTGCTTGTGTAGGATGGCAGGAGGTTTTTTTGGTGCTCCCTGTGATGAATGTGAGAATGATTTGTGCGTGGCAAAGCCCTTTTGGGAATGCTGAGTTCATCGTGGTCAAGAGTCTGAGCGGGAGCACGGTTTGCAAGAACTAGCGGTCTACAGTATTCCCAGATGGCATCAAATTGCAGCACCTGCGGAAGTCGGTCACGCTCGCATGTAGCTTGTTATGAGAAGCTGCCCTCCTGCAAGTGCATACTCGTCTTGGCTTATACGGTAGCCATGGCAAGGGTGTGGATGGAGGCTTCTGGCTTGCTGGCAGTGCTGGCAACCAGGATGATAGGTTGGCGACGGGGTATGGGATACGGGTTGGTGATGGGATGGATGAAGGGATGGTCATGCGGAAGTTGGATGGCGACGATGACGGCAAGCGGTGCCAGTGGAATTGAGGGATCGCATTTCATCCTGGCAATGCTAGATTTCTCCAAAAAGCGGACTACATGCGTGCAGCATGTTGCATGAGTGAGTCACGGCTGCTTGTGTAGGATGGCGGGAGGTTTTTTTGGTGCTCCCTGTGATGAATGTGAGAATGATTTGTGCGTGGCAAAGCCCTTTTGAGAATGCTGAGTTCATCGTGGTCAAGAGTCTGAGCGGGAGCACGGTTTGCAAGAACTAGCGGTCTACAGTATTCCCAGATGGCATCAAATTGCAGCACCTGCGGAAGTCGGTCACGCTCGCATGGAGCTTGTTATGAGAAGCTGCCCTCCTGCAAGTGCATACTCGTCTTGGCTTATACGGTAGCCATGGCAAGGGTGTGGATGGAGGCTTATGGCTTGCTGGCAGTGCTGGCAACCATGATGATAGGTTGGCGACGGGGTATGGGATACGGGTTGGTGATGGGATGGATGAAGGGATGGTCATGCGGAAGTTGGATGGCGATCATGACAGCAAGCGGTGCCAGTGGAATTGAGGGATCGCATTTCATCCTGGCAATGCTAGATTTCTTCAGAAAACAGACTGGTAGCGTGCAGCATGTTACATGGGTGAGAGTGACGGCTGCTTGTGTAGGATGGCGGGAGGTTTTTTTGGTGCTCCCTGTGATGAATGTGAGAATGATTTGTGCGTGGCAAAGCCCTTTTGGGAATGCTGAGTTCATCGTGGTCAAGAGTCTGAGCGGGAGAACGGTTTGCAAGAACTAGCGGTCTACAGTATTCCCAGATGGCATCAATTGCAGCACCTGCGGAAGTCGGTCACGCTCGCATGGAGCTTGTTATGAGAAGCTGCCCTCCTGCAAGTGCATACTCGTCTTGGCTTATACGGTAGCCATGGCAAGGGTGTGGATGGAGGCTTCTGGCTTGCTGGCAGTGCTGGCAACCATGATGATAGGTTGACGGGGTATGGGATACGGGTTGGTGATGGGATGGATGAAGGGATGGTCATGCGGAAGTTGGATGGCGATGATGACAGCAAGCGGTGCCAGTGGAATTGAGGGATCGCATTTCATCCTGGCAATGCTAGATTTCTCCAAAAAACGGACTGGTAGCGTGCAGCATGTTGCATGAGTGAGAGTCACGGCTGCTTGTGTAGGATGGCGGGAGTTTTTTCTGGTGCTCCCTGTGATGAATGTGAGAATGATTTGTGCGTGGCAAAGCCCTTTTGGGAATGCTGAGTTCATCGTGGTCAAGAGTCTGAGCGGGAGCACGGTTTGCAAGAACTAGCGGTCTACAGTATTCCCAGATGGCATCAAATTGCAGCACCTGCGGAAGTCGGTCACGCTCGCATGGAGCTTGTTATGAGAAGCTGCCCTCCTGCAAGTGCATACTCGTCTTGGCTTATACGGTAGCCATGGCAAGGGTGTGGATGGAGGCTTATGGCTTGCTGGCAGTGCTGGCAACCATGATGATAGGTTGGCGACGGGGTATGGTATACAGGTTGGTGATGGGATGGATGAAGGGATGGTCATGCGGAAGTTGGATGGCGATCATGACAGCAAGCGGTGCCAGTGGAATTGAGGGATCGCATTTCATCCTGGCAATGCTAGATTTCTTCAGAAAACAGACTGGTAGCGTGCAGCATGTTGCATGAGTGAGAGTGACGGCTGCTTGTGTAGGATGGCGGGAGGTTTTTTTGGTGCTCCCTGTGATGAATGTGAGAATGATTTGTGCGTGGCAAAGCCCTTTTGGGAATGCTGAGTTCATTGTGGTCAAGAGTCTGAGCGGGAGCACGGTTTGCAAGAACCAGCGGAGTTCTCAGGTGGCACTATGCCGAATTGTGCCTAATGCCACGGCTTGCGGCAGTTGATAAGGCAAGCGCGAATCGGCATTGACCTTGATGTGAGAGTAGTTGTTTTTCTGTGCGGATGCTGACCCCTCCAGACCTTTGCCGTTTTCAAGCTGGCTAAGCGGCTTTATGTTTTGACGTGTGCACATGTTGTTCATTTTCGTCTTACCATCAGATGTTTCCGAAGCACGCAAACTTTACCATTGGCAAATCGTTGTCTACCTACTCGAGCAACAACAGACCAACCAACAAGACTACGCATGAGCTCACAGTGCCAGATGAGCAACATGTCTGATGTCAACAGTGCCTTCGTCTTGCCAATGCCGAACCGCCTTTCGCGTTTGTACATGTAGAGTGCCGTTGCTTCTCAAGCCGGCTAATACATTGCATGTGCAAAACCAGCCCAAAAGAAATGTATCCCAACATGGCAAGACGCAACACGCATTTACGCATCCAATTCTCTCGGAACTAAGTGACTGACGAGTCAGCAATGGTGCTTCAATGGAGTCCACCGAGTCCACCGAGTCCACTGAGGCCACTGAGGCCACAGGGTTTCCAGCTCAACAAATTCCGATGCGGCGCCTGCGGCGCCTGAGGCAAGACAATCGCTCTCCATTGAGGACTTGAAGGAGCAGGCGCGAAGTGAAGGCCCAACATGGCACTGGAAAGAGCGCGCAGGGCAACCTGGCCTTCAAGAGGGCCGCTTTGCTGAGGCTGGCGAGGTCCTTTTCGACTCTCCAGGACTCTCCATGTTCTGCCTGCCTTAGGCGCACCACAGCTGCATCTCAGTACCTCAGCGAAGCCAAGTCCTACTATATCGAGGCTCTTGGATGGCACTGGAGTTGCAGTTTGCACAGGCGCTGGCTTGCGATTTGTACTTGCGCACACACACACACATATACGCAACCCGTTCAGTATGTGATCACAGCAGAACTGGCATGAGGCATGCAGCCAGCTAGCCAGCCAGCCACTTTGCGCTTGCAGGTCGCCCAACATACGTCAACACGAAAGGCAAGCCCAAACTGCCAAATGCGCGATGAGTCGGCCAACGGGACGTGACGTGCCAAATCCGCCGACGAGAGTCGAGCGTGTAGATGACAGGGCTCTCCTGTGGGCGTGGTCCTGTAGAATCCTCGTCAAAGCCGCAGCCCTTCTTTGTCTCAAGCAGCAACAGCAGTACCGCAAGAGGTAAAAGGGTAGCTGGTCGTACCAGAGGACATCCCGTATTTCCTCAATGCAATCATTGATGCTTCCTTATCGGTTCTGAGATAGACTCAGTGTTTCCAAGCAGAGCAAGAAGCGAACGCAAGACTTGCAGCGCGCTCGCCGGCCCACAGCCAATGATAACCTTGTTGCGCAATTCTCATCGCCCAGACTGAGTTGAGCAATCGAGGAAGTTGGGTCATTGAGGAACATTCAGCACGAGAACTACAGCAATGCTACGCTGAAAGCAAAGTGCCGTAAACTTGTCGTCGTAACAGGACCTGGGACCCAAGCAAGTAAGTGGAGGAGCAAGACGGCGTGTCCTACACCCTCGAATCAGGAGAGTATGAAGGAGAAGACGGATTTTGGATCGAAGATGAAGAAGGGAACGAAGGCTTC